ATAATAGGAAAACATTGATTTATATACGAGCTGAAACTTTAAAAAGCGCAGAAGAAAAACAAAGATAAAATTCAAAATTTCAATTAACTGAAACGAAAAGTGGTTAAACAGTTTTAACTATGTAATTTATATTTTTACAATAAAATTTTATTTATAATAAACAGTAGAAAACCATATTTGTTTATATCTATACTAAAATGTAACAATACAATGAAGATAAAATTCAAATGGCATGCTCATTTCAACCACATGCTTAACCACATATAAAGTACTTACACCTAATGAGAATTACTTTTATTGTATGAAGGTTAATCCAAAAAAAAAGTTTACAAGCAGAAGCATTTGAAACGTAATAATTGTGGAGCGAATATTTCCACCCAGGGTAGTTGACAGATGGCGCTAGTTGTCCTACAGCGATTCTACGAGTAAGTAGCATCAGTATGCAGACACTTAAGAGCGACAGTAATGGCATGACGTCTAGAAAAGTGGTCTCACATATAGGTGCAAGCCGTAATTCGATTCTTATGGGCCAAGAATGTGGCCGCATCCGAAATTCACAGACAAATCGTTGAGGTATACGGGGACAAAGCAATGAGTAGACAACAGGTAGCGAAATGGTGTCGTTCTTATCAAGCGGGCAGGGAGCATGTGGAAAACTGCAATATGGAAGCGAGCGGCCGTCCAAGTTCTTCAAGGATGGATATCAACACGGCATGTGTTGAAGAAATCATCCAAAGGGATCGACGAGTAACCGTGCGTGAGATTGCCTCAGAGTTGGACCTGAGTTATGGTAACGTTCAGCGTATCGTAACCGATGAGTTGCGATATTCCAAAGTTTGTGCCCGCTGGGTTCCACGTGCGTTGTCCGCGGAGCATAAGGCCACTCGAATGATGTGCAGCCTCACATTTCTTCAGCGATACCATTCAGACGGCCAACACTTCATTGATCGCATCGTTACCGGTGATGAAACATGGCTTCATCACTTCACCCCCACATCCAAAAGAGCCACGATGGAGTGGAAACACGCTGGATCACCGACGAGGAAGAAGTTTAAGGTCACACCCTCTGCCGGTAAAGTGATGGCAACCGTTTTCTGGGATACGACTGGTGTTATCCTAATCGAGTATTTGGAGCGTGGCCATACCATTAAGGCCGATCGTTATTGTGCCACCTTAACGAAATTGCGTAAAGCCATCCGACGCAAACGGCCTGGATTACTAAGCAAAGGCATCATTCTTCTGCATGACAATTCCAGGCCCCATACAGCTTGCAGACTCAGGAATTGCTGCAAAGGTTCAAGTGGGAGGTCTGGAACCTTCCCCCCCCATACAGCCCCGATTTGGCTCCAAGTGACTATTTCATTTTTCCGGTGTTCAAGCGATACTTATCCGGAACACGGTTCACCTCAGACGATGCAGTGAAAACAGCTGCCGAGAAATGGCTCAATGAGCAGGCCCTGATTACTACCAAGACGGGTTAAACAAGTTGGTCGAACGTTCTGACAAATGCCTAAACAGGTTTGCCGACTATGTGGAAAAGTGAAGGCTAGATGTGTCTTTTGATTCCCATTTGTATCTCATTTTTATTTGTTAATAAGTACTTTTTCATTTGCCTTGTAAACTGTTTTTTGGATCACCCCTCGTATTACTACATTTAAATCAAAATCTGTATTTAATCAATTCCTGTATTTCCAATTCAACCGTATTAATCAATCATTTGTAATAAACTGGTTCATACATTTCTGACCCCACAAATATGTTAATTGAAGGATCAAACTTGCAGGTATTTGTCTCTCAGAAAACCAAGAGCTCTTTCTCACACTCCTTTTGACCTCATGCTTGGAAGGACCAGGCACACGAGACCTCCATTCACACAAATCTGTTGCATCTTTCCTTTCAACTAATTTTGTACCATTTGTATACTTAGGACATTCGTACACATTCAAAATCAAACCATAATTCATGCAGCATTCTATCACACATCTTTTCATTCTGATCTTGCAACCAAATCAAATAAGCAAAATTCATACATTCAACTCTTTCAACGCCAGCCATTTTGCTCACACTGTTCACGAGAGGCACCGTGAAATGACGAATATTGATACTTGCTGGTATGCTGGTGTCAGCACGAATATTATCATGCTTTACCCAGCACATCAAATACCCTGTTTAAGGTAAACAACACATGTAAAACCACAAATAGTTAAAATGGCTAATATTCAAAAAGCCGATTATATAAAATAAACTGTAATTTTAATGATTTTCATTACACCGAAAAAAAATGGGAGTTGCTAGATAAGGCACGATTTCGCTTAACTTGGCTTAATGCTTATATAATAATAATAAATAAATTGTTATTATAATTTTGCTGGAAAATAACTTCGCTTAACGCTTAATCTCCAGTCTAGCCCATGTTCCTTTTAAAGATCTCCCATAAAAGTAACCCTTCTGTAGATAGTCACCTTTCACACAGTTTGCATTAATCAGTTGATTTAATCCTAAACTATCTAATGAAATTTTGAAATGATGACTAAAATATTTTAAAGAAAATGCTGAACTATTTCATCAGTGTAAAACTCATCTGCACAGGTTAGTTGTCTAATTTATCAAACTTTTTAAAATATTAACTTTGAAATTTTAGGAGAAAAAAATTTAAATTTTAAAAGTTTTTAAATTTAACGTTTGGTGTTTCCTTCAGCCATTTTTCTGGTACATTTAAAAGCCAGACAAAAGCGAAAAGTGAAGAGCGACTGGTTTTCGACTATATAGTTGTATAAATTTAATTTACTTCGTAAAACATCATATCATATAATAAATGGAGCATCCCATGATTTCTCAGTCGAATTATTAAAGATTCCGGAATTTCAATAGTGACATATATATATATCAGCTAAAGATGTTTTCCCTCTTGATGAAACCAGTCTTTCCTTTCATCTCATACCTTCAAAATGTTTAGCCTGATAAAGGTTTTGACCAAATACTGATGAAATGGATTGAATTGGATTATAAAGTTACGGCAAAGCAGGGCTATCTGCCTAAAAGTAGGGATGTCTTCGTGAAGACTAAGGGAATCCAGCTTGTATACGCATTACACATTAGAAAAACCATAAAACCGCCCATGCAACCAGCCCGTTCACCAGGATTCAAATCTCAGAGCGAACTACAAGTGGTCAGCGAATTCACCGCTCAGCCGTTTATGGGCCCTTTTGAAATGGAGGGCAATACTTTATTTTAAATTAATGTCAGAAATACCAAGATGTTTCGAAGTTGAAGGCTCTTTAATATACTTTCAGAATGCTTGAAAAATAAAAAAAAATAAATAAAAATCCATTAAGAAGAAAAAATAAATTTTTGCATAAAATTTAGTATTTTTTTAATTTAAAAATTTTTAATTTTATGATATTTGATTTTTGGGATTTCAAAAATAAAATGTTTGACTAAAATATGAATTATAACCAAAACTACCATAAACAAAAGACTCACTTGGCCTTTTTAAATAATTAATTAAGATAAAACATTACAATTAAGGGCATTATAATTACATATTTAAGTTACAAAGTAAATCTCGAGGAACACCATGTTTAGTGTCTTGAGTTCAGTACATCGACTGGAGGCTAGTCTTTTTTCTTTCTTTCTTTCTTTTTTTTTTTTTTTTTTTTTTTGGCTGGTGTTTATTCCGGATGCCGCTAGGTGGTGCTCGTTGAGCTGTGGGGTTACAGAATAACATTTTAAGAAATTAAATGTAAATGATAAAACTGTGTAAAGCAATGGGCTTAGTGATAAAACTGTTTAAAATAATGTATGCAAGTCATCCTAAGTTAAAATGTCGGATATACATCTCTCTTATTTATATACCTTTTCTGAACGGAACATTGAAAGGCGTGTTAACTGTGCTTTATTGTATTTTTTTATTTAATATATGCAGTTTTCAAATGCATCGTAGTCTGGGTCATAAGGTAGTCTTCTGGAAGAAATGCAATTCAAATAAATAAAATCAAATTCTAGAAAATTGATATTGATAAATATATTTAAAATGCACAGTTTGAATGAATGAATAGAAAATTTTAAAACAATTATGTGAAGAGACAATGCAAGACAAACAATTAAAATAAAAGTATAAAAATTTTAAAATTACCTAAAATAATAACTAGAACTAAAAAATATAGTATTAAAAAACTAGAGTAAATAGAAATTTTGAAAACAGTTATATGAAAAAAACCTTGCAACTTAAACAATTAAAATAAAATTGAAAAAGAAAAAAATTACTTAAAATAATGAAAATTATAATTAAAAATATAGTGTAAAGAACATTATTTGAAAGATGGAACAATGTACCTTTTTTCCGCTCATGCGAAATCTAAAAAGGGAAAGGAAAATAGGTTGCTATATATGAAGAAGTTTGCCAAGTGAACTATTCTTAGGGCAACCTGAAAAAAAGCGCCAATATAAATGTTTGAATTTCTCCATAAATTTCGCACCAAATTTTACAAAATATAATACTTAGTCATAATTTGAATTATAGAATTGGAATATGTAAAAAAATTGGTATGTTATTTCAGAAAAAGTCCTATTTTGTGTTAAAATAGTGCTACATATAAATCTAATATATATCCTAAGTTCTGCTTTTGAGACATGAAAAATGCAATTTGAATTTTGTCAATCAGCCCACTAGAGCGAGAGAGATAGAACTGTCCTTTTTTTTTTTTTTTTTTTTTTTTTTTTTTTTGCACAGTGTACATATAGACATCACAAAAAAATCCCTTTTGAATTCATTTCTAAATCTATTTTACAATTCATTTCTGAAAAAAGAATCCTTTATTCTGTCTTTACATACAGAGGTCACACAAAAAATCGTCCAAATGGTTTCAAGAACAATCAAAAGGGATATATTCCATATGTATGATACCCAAAATTTTTCATGATTTCAATACTTTTTTCACTTCATAGAAGGAAGTAAAAAACAATGCAAAGTATTGTTGTAAAATTTTATTCTTTTACAGATTATTTCATTAGGAGCTGGATTTGATTCATCATACTTCAGGTACAAAAGCCTAAATAAGTTACCATTTGACTGCAGATATATTGAGGTAAATCTTTAAATGTTATTAACTTAAACATTATTCCTACTTGAGTACATAATTCATATATGTTTGTAATATATTGCAAATTGCAATTTGAAAGCAAAAATTTATGTGAATTCCCCCTTCATTGTGTATTATGTTGTATGTTATAAATCTTTCAATTAATTCCAACATTCTAAAAATATGAAAAATATTAGTTTTTATTATGTATATAAATTTTTAAAAATATTACTTTAATGTACCTTATTTTTAACAATATAATGCATGAATAACAAATAAAAAATGTAGCAGCTTTATATTAGTATGAAAAATATGTATAGTTTACTATGTGGCTAAGTTCTTTTTTTTTTTGCTACTTCAGAGGACAATTTGGAGATAAAATATCTAATATAAATATCTCTCTCTTATAACAAAGATTTAGAAATATATGTAACTTATTTAGAAATTATATTTTACACTATGCTATTATATGGGGGTTGTAAATTAAATAGTGGCAACTTAATCTTGAAACTCGCAGAAGGGCGGGCATGTGCAAATAGGCTATGTAAGCGGTGAGGTGGCACTGTTGTCGATGTGTAGAGTGCAAAAAACAGTTGATCTGCTTAGAAGGGTAGTTATTGTGTGGCGTTAAAGTGAGGAGTTTTGTTTCCATCGCTCTAAAGCATGTTTTCAAAAGGTGATCAGTGGTCATGGCTTAAAATCGAGGTTGCCCGGGGCAAAAATGAACAGAATGCTATCAAGGATTAGTGGAAGCCTGTGGCACAAATGCTTTACCGTATAGGACTGTAGCACGATGGGTTCAAACATTTCGTTCGGGTTGGAATGAGATTGCGGATTTGCAATGCACAGGTCGGCCCTCTATTCCTCAAGAGCAGATTGACATCCTGAGCAGTCTCCTTACAAAGACTGCCGATGGACTGTCGGAGAATTATTCTTAGAGGTTGGTCTGAGTCATCAAAGGGTGTGGTGCATAATGAAGAAAGCTCTCAACATGAGGAAAATTGCTTCCCGCTGGGTTCCACATGACTAACCAAAGTACAGAAATTGCACTGGCTGGCACCAACTTGGAGAGATACCGCAATGAAGGAGACGCATTTCTGCAGCGTATTATCGCCATTGATGAGACATGGTCATGAGCCTATGAGCCTGAATTAAAGCTTCAATCAAATGAATGGCGTCACCAAGGTTCGCCACGTCCACAGAAATTTTGACAAGAACCCAGTCAGGTGAAGGTTATGCTGATTATGGCATACGACTGGGACGGTGTGATTCTTACACATGCTGTACCTGAAAAACAAACTGTCAACACAGATTACTATTGTCGATTTCTACAGCATCGTCTGTGTCCGGCTATGTGGCGCAAATGTCCACATTTATTACACAACAATCTCCCTATCATATTGCATGACAATGCTCGTTGCCATGTCGCTAACAATGTTACTCTCCTTTTGCGATGGTGGCAGTGGGAAATCCTGGAACACCCTTCCTACTCCTCCGACATGAGTCCTTGTGACTTCAATCTGTTTCCAAAGTTGAAGGAACCCGTCGAGGTCACCCATTTCATGACGTTTCATCTGTACTCCATGCAGTAGGGCACTTGGTCACTCACATCAACAATCAACCACCTTGCACTGGTCTACAATGGCTTCCTGGCATTTGGCAAAAGGTTATAAGCTTTGCTGGTGATTACATAGAAGGAATGTAATGCAATTGTGCTTGTAAGTTCATTAAAAATTGATTTATACCTATGTTGCCATTACTTAATTTACAGCCCTCATATATTATGTTAGAGTATTAATGTACTTTTTAAATAACAACACTTTTTTTATCTATATAGTGAGAGCTGTACTATTTTTAATAAAGAAAATGTGATAAAAACTCGAACATCTGGAAAGTTCGGGAAATGTCATTCAGGATATGAAACAATTCCTGACAGTTGAGCACATAAAAATTGGAATTCACCTTAGAAAAGCCAAATGAATCGCAGAAAGTTTCAGTGTAAAATTTTGAAATCAGTCATCTTATTTGTTATAAAAATTTCAATGTCAAAAGCGTATGTTTAAAATTATATAATGTTTTTTGGGGTGAGGTAATATATTTCAGACATAAAAGCTAGACATATTTTGTAGGCCTTAAACATGAAAGTAAAATCTTATCTTATGAAATGCTGCTGAACATGATTGTTGGCAGAAATGTTGCCAAACTTCCATCAGTAATTCTGGCAGAAATTTAATAGATCAGATCATTCTTTACAGAAAAAGATACATTTATGGGTATGTCATATAAAAACTTAAACTATTTGTCACAGGTTTTCACATTGCATTGCCATTGTTTATCCGAAGTTGCTCATAGTACCTTTTTTTCATGCAAGATCTTGTAACTTAGAAATTACTCTACTGCCCTGAAAGGCAGCCACAAATATTAATAATTTTTTTTTAAATAGTGTAAAAATATCCTTCTTTACAAAAACTGGCTCATTGAGAATGAATTGGGTTTACATAAAACTAAGACGAAATGCTTATGATTGTGTTGTAATTTCATGCTCAATTTTTGGCACTAAATCACACTAAAATCGCACTATTTGATGACAATTTGTATGTGCTAATAATATCTGGTTGTAACGAAAGTTTTCCTCCAAAAAACATTCTTAATAAAGTTAGGAAAAAACATGAAAGCAGTACCTTTAGTGTGGGTATTAATTGTTACCCAAATCTATGATTTTCTGCCAGTGTTTTGGTAGTTTTTCAAAGCCTTCGGCCCAGAAACTTGATGGCCGCATGTCCTAGACAGATCAACCTCATTTCGGACATCATGTGCAGAATGGAAGACAGCACCAACAAGATGTGGCTGCAGGTGCGAAAAAGGTAGAAGTCCGAGCGATGTCGGGGCTATATGGCAGGTGTGGCAAAAGATGTATTCGAGTCCGTACAGATTCCAGCCACTGAATGCAGAAACATGTGGTCTTGCATTATCTTGATTGAATATTGCCCTTTTATGCTGGAACTCAGTTCAACATTTATTCTTGATAGCAGTATCAACACAGACTAACATCTCGCTGTATACCTTACTGTCAAGGGTTTTACCTTTTTCCAGATAATCTTTGTGGATAATACCACAGCAATCCACTGATAAAAAATGTCAAATAGTCAATTTGCACTTTGTGATGTTGCCGATGGGCTCACTGGATGCAGCCCAATCCTTTTTTCAGACTGTCTTGTTGAAGTAAATCCACTTTTCATTGCAAGTGATGATCTGATCCAGAATTTTGTACTTGTGTTGATATTTGAATAGATTAGTACAGGCCCAAACATGTCTGTCTTTATCTGCTTGAGTCGGCTCATATGGCACCTAGCGATTAAACTTGCACCTCAAGTTTATGTGATGAACTAGCATAACTAATGGACATGACACTAATGTCTTGAATCCTTAGCAAGCTCTCAAGTGGTTGCATACTGATCTTCGTGCACAAGTTCTCACAAGTGGGCCTTAACGACATCAATGCAATCTAGAGTGCTGTGCTTCTTGAATGTCATAGTCCTTGTGTTTGCACTTTTGGTACTAAACCTTCACAGTGTCATATGATACAACATTAGTACCTAAAGCTGTATACATGATTTGGTGACAATCTATAACTGACTTTTTGCAACAGAACTGGAAGTAAATGATGCTTCTAATCTGGTAGCATGATACTTTCATTTCAGCCATCTTGTACTTAATGATAATGACACTTTTTTGTAAATTTCACAATACAGTGTTCTAAAGCAAGTCTCAAATGCCAAAAATCATTTGACAAAATATTATTAAATACACCAACGTGAACTGTTTGCGCAGATTATATTTGTGGTGGCTGGAAACATTTGTTAAAACTGTGATATAATGAGTTTTATAATGGTGTTATAAATCTGTCATTTGATTAATTTTTGGGGAAGAATGTTTTTTTTTAAATTCTAAACCATTCCAGTTATTTGAGCTTTCCTGTGCATTGAAAGCCAGATAGCCGGACTTTTACTGTATCATTATTACTATATCATTGACACCATGTTAAGACTGCAACTATGCAAAATCATTTTCAGAAAAATGTGTTAAATACTTGACTTTGTAATGAAAATCTGAATGCATGATTTTAAATTATATTACACAGTACAAAGTCTGTAATCCAGACGTCTATTATCCGGAATGATCTATAATCCGGACCTCAAAGCCACAAACTTGCGCATACGCATAATGCGTTTACGCATGCACATTTGATGCGCGCTTCCATTACGCATGCGCGTAAAGCCAGTAAAGCGTTTACCCATGCGCACTTTCGATAGTGAAGAAAGTAACAGAGAACGTTATTGAAAAAGAAAAAATTTCGATTGACAAGTTAGTCGGTATTCTCGACACAGCAATTACGGACTTGAACAGTGGAACTTTGTAACTGAACAAGAAATTATGTCTGTTTATAGAATTAAAGAGAAAGCATTAGCACAAAAAACGAAGCAACTTAAACAACTTACATTGATAGAAATGTTTACTAAAGTAAACAAATAAATATTAATTTTTTTTTGTAAATTTTGATACCATTATATCATAATTGCTCTTTATTTCATAAATTATGGTTTCATATTTTTAATTGTATAATTTCTGCATGCAATCTTACCAGATTTAAATTGATGATCTATAATCCGGAAAATCACCTAATCCGGAATCGCCGAAGTCCCGACGAGTCCGGATTACGGACTTTGTACTGTAATTCTTTTATATGTATCTTTCTTTCTTTAAAAAAAAAAATGATGTGAGAAACCTAGAAATGCATTTAGGTAACAATGTAAAAAATTCAGATTTATAGTATTATAAACCTTTCATTTTTGGTTTAAAATTTCACATTTTAAAAGAAGAGGCCAAATTTCCATATGTTATTTTCTTGTCTGTTATGGAATTCTACTTGAAGTGGAAGTTTTACTTTTTAAATATACTTATTTTGAATTTAAGATGAGTGACCATTCTGAAGCACATTAACTTTC